GTACTTGATTCCCGTGCTTCGTAAAATGATAGACAAATCTTTCCGAATGTCGCCATTTACTTGTTTGTATGAATTCCATTATGTCTAGACATTTGAAACCAATGGCCACTAATTTTCATCAAAATCTTCCATTGGGATTTCCAAAGAACAACTTACATTAAAAAGTAAGTTCCGCCTTTCATCTATTGTGAGATTTGCTAATGCAAAGTTTGATAGTGCGAAGTTTGATAGTGCGAAGTTTGATGGTATAAAATTTGATGGGGTGGAGTTTGATGGTGTGAAGTTTGCTGGTGTAAGGTTTGTTAGTGTGAGATTTGTTGACGTTTGGTTTGTTGTTGATGTAACAATTGAAGCAGCAGCAGCGGACATATTAAAAGTATTTTTTCTTAGACTTTAAAGAAGAAATTAAGGGGAGAGGAAGTATAAAGTACTTTAAAGCCTTCTTTTTATGGTTTCGCTTTGTTTCTTTTTTTACTTGAGTATAGGTAATTGTTAGCGAAAGCTAAGAAGCAAAAATTCTTATTTTTTTTTCCTCTATTTTTTAACTCACGCTAAGAATAAAAGACTTTCATAAAAAACAATAAAGTAACATATTTACACGACTTCACAGAAATCGTAAGCTGCATTGAAAAATACTTTTGAACCTAAGCCTCAAGACTGCAAGAGATAAAAAAAATGCTTTATTATCATATGTTTATCATATGCTTATCTTATTATGCATATAATGATCACGTGATTTAACTTGATCGCGTAGATATGTGACTTGTATATCACGTGACATGTACTTTGTCATGTGACTAGATTTGATTACGTGATTTAACTCCGCTTTAGCCAACCCCCTAATTCAAGATTATAAGGGAGCTGATTCCCATTTTCGCAGTACTATGAGCCATGTAATCCATAATTCCCATGTTTTTTATCACAAATAGGGCATGGTGAACTCTACGGCTAAGATGATGTAAAATTATAATTATCAATTCCTCTGAAACTATTTCGGAATTTCAAGTATGTGAAATGCTCTAAAACGGATTTGATAATTAATTCTGGATTGGGTCTGGCTTCAAAGGTGATAGGCCCTTTTTCTTCACATTGCTCAGAAGAAGATAAATAGGATATTTTGTTTTCTGACTTTGAATTTATGAGAAGACTGGCTTCTGATGTATGTATTTCTGATAATTGCCATAGCTCATTTCCAGTTTCTTTTTTATATCTTTTATATAATTTGGAATGAATCTTATCTGTCAAAATACTTGGTAACCCAGTTAATTTAGCATGCCAATCCAGATAATCGGTAGTTAGTATTTTAACAGACTCAGTCATTTTTCTTTTTATATAACTGCAAACAATTTAAATTCCTTTTTTCTCATATAGATCTATTCATTTGAAAAAAAAAGATTAAAATTCCCAGATTATTGTGAAGCAATGAGATTATGCAACTATCTCAATTTCATGCTGTTCACATTTAATAAAGTAAGATCCAGCTTTATACTTACCTTCTATTTCTTCATCATTATGATCTAATTTGCATAATAGGCAAATGTAGTTACCGCATGATGTCTTATCAGTCATCCTATAATAATCGAAATTTTCATTACTACATTCTCTATATAGATTAGGATATTGATCCAATATTTTATTGCAAAAATAGGTGTAGTTATAAGTTGGCTTAGATTGGGCTCGCGTCTATGATACATTTACTTGAGATATATCTGATGAAATTATTTCTGATGGAGCATTTATCTTGATTTCTTTTTCATTCGATAAGAACTGGCACTTAATGTAGTAAAAGCCCTTTATACTTCGGCTAACTACCTTCCCTTTATCATGCTCTTTTTCACATCTAGGACATAAGCCTGAACTCTTAAATTCATATTTGTCATTATGTCTATCACTATTATATAAGGATAGGTAGGGATGATATAGGAAGCACGAGCATCATATGGGATGACCGGTAAATTGACTGGGACTGAAGAATTAGTGGATGCAATTAGAATTCTTACTTTAAATTTGGCAGGTGCAGTTGCATCGCTAGTGATCATTTCTGAAGTCACGTGAGTGTGTGAATTTTTTTCATGTAGTGTTGTTTTAATAGTATCAATTTGCATGTCAGTTAACTTTGAGAGTTTATTTACACTATACGATTTGATTCGCATAATCTTATTTTCTCCAATTTCGCTAAATAATATATATATAGGCTTAGTTAGCTGGGTTTTTTTGTGCAAGTTTACATGAGAGACTCCTGAAAGATGTTGTAGCATTTTATCATAAATCTGCCTACTTGTAAGTTCATAGGCTTTTTTATTCGTAATAAATCCTTTCTTTAGAATTCCAGGTAAAATTTCACTATGTCTTTTTTCAAAATACCTTCTATAGCAATACCAGCTCATGATTTCATCTTGTTTGGCTCGTATAGTCCTAATTTTAGCAAATTTCGTTTTTTATATAGATAGGTTAATTCAATTGCAGATGATTGATCAATAGCAGTACTCTCCTCCATATTAATAACCTTAACACAATCTTCTTCCGAAGGTTTTATAAGCAATTCTTGTATCAAAGGCTGTATATCTATTTCATGTATTTTTATTTTAGCATTTTGTTCTGATAAGACAGGGCTATTAGAGATAGGATGCGAACTTTGGATGATTCTGATGAAGGGATAATAGAAGTACAAGGTAAATCTAAGTCTTAAAGCTTTTTTCCCTATTTCTTTGCCTGATCTCATTACTAACCTTTTTTTTGTATTCTTCATTCAAGAAAGCATCTATCTCTCTATCTTTCAATGAAACTTTCTCAGAAGAAATATCTAGTCTTAAAGAGACCTCTTCAATTGAATACACATTCTACAAATTAGTAATGTTTTGAGTTTGCTATTTGTTTTCGAAGACAGATATCAAATCATTCTCAATAGAACTAGTTTCAAGAGGTAGGTCATTTTGTGAGTTATTATGTAAAGTACTATTTTCTGGATAAGAAATAGGTTTTAAGGCTTCTTGTTCTTTTATAATAGGCGCTTCAATTATATCAGAATTATGATTTGAGGGTTTAGTATCATGTGAAGCTTTTGTCTGAGAAACATTATTCTTTTCTTTGGCTTTAGTAGCAGGACATTCAAGACAAACACTATGAATCATGCGTCTATCTGTAAGAATAGTAATATTTTTTTGTTGCGGATTTGTAAAAATAGGTTCATGACATTTTGGGTATAAAAGCAATTCACAAATTCTTTCAGCTAAGATATCCCACACAGACGTATTTACATCCGGTCATGATTCTCTAAAAGCATTTAATATATTATATATAATATGATTCATTACTCACGTTAGCGATGAATTTATTATATTTATGTTATGTTTAAGTAATAAAATCTCATTACTCAAATAAAAAATCATGTGATTGTATGAAAAAAAATTCACGCACTTTTGCCAAGAAAAAAATTTTTATTAATACATGCGAAAAATAAATACATGATGGTTAATTAATCTGATACGTGACGAAGTTTCTATACAGGATCCTGCCTTCTACTAATATACAGTTACAGAGTAACGCTATAATTGTTTTTTCGTTGCTTCTCCCTCTCAGCATGATGATAAATTTTTTTGGCATACTTGGAGTAATAGCCCGTATAAGATAATGTAAGTTTATTACATATTCTACATGAAGATTTTAGCATATTATTTGCATCTGATTTCTAGTGGAGCGAGCATCCAACCAAGCGGATACAGACTCAGCCACAAGTATTCCCATTCTTTCTAATATGTGGGCAGGTAAGACGATCCATTTATTATATTCTTGCACCTTTCACATTATAGAATTCAAATTTCAAAATGAAAAAATCCTAATTGAACTGTGGTAGAAAAAGTATACCGTAAACAATTAATTATATACTACAGCATAAATCATCATCTATGAATACGAAAAAAATAGTACTCAATATTCTAACCGGCCGATGGATCGATCCAAACAGAAAGCTATTCCAGAAGTTGATTTGTGAAGGCTATAAATATGTTGATAGACTCTCAGATTATTTAGAAGACATTGGAATCATATATGTAGGTGAATTTAAGCTGGATTCCTTAGCCAACTTCTACCACCTAGCTCTAATTCTGCCTTTATCAATCTTAGCGAATAGAGCAGATATTCGTAAAAACTTTCCTATTAGTATAGAATCTGCTGTTGTAAAAGAAATGAGTTTATTAACCCTTGAAAAAAATAAACGATCCACTCTTCAGAATCTAATACAAATGAACTATTCCAGTGACAACTTAACTACGTTAATAGGAATAACTTAGGAGCAAGAAGAGACGAAAGCTTGGAGGGATAACGTACTTAAAAATTCTTTTATCACCCAAATTTAGTACTTTCAAGATATAAACTGAATGCATTATATGACGCATTCACAAAAGCAGATGTTTTAGAGTCAGAGCATGTATTAGCTCTGTTACAGCTACTTGGTTAAAATTCGATTACAATACAAATTTGTTTATAGCCTTGAAATGGCAGTTCCATGACTATATATTTTTCACATATCATATATGCCTGCAAAATTCAATTTTTTTTTATTAATAAAATACAAAGTTTGGGACGTAGTCCAGAATACATGACGTCTATGCTAATATACATGATTATTTTTTCAAATGATAACCCTCTACCCTAACCCTCTTCCTATCAGGTTTTTCATCCACGCACTCCAGCCTATCCTTCAACAACCCAACAATGACCTCTATAACCTGCTTTACGTTTTTATGCAAATTTTTTTCTTTCTCTGATCCTTTCTTCAAAGCAGATTCTGAAAATTGAATATTGAGGAGATCCTTGCTCATACTTGATATTCCATCTGAGGCAAATAAAATAAAATACCATTCCGTGGTTGCTGTAATGATTCCATAAATATAGTTGTAATCATCTCCAAATGCTTCACCCGATTTACGTTTTCTCTTATTCTTATTCACCTGTAATGCACTTTCGCATTAGATCAAATTCTGAGCGAAACCCATAACTACTTAATGTAACTTCCCTTCCATGATGTAAATAAGTTCCTCAAGGGCTTTAATTGCATAATCAACTCGACCAATACTTTCTTCGCTGATAACTTCAAGCTGAGGTGCTAAGGTAAGCTCTTTTTTGATTATTCTTTTGACGATATAGAGCAAAGCGTGAAGAATAGTCAAAATATACTCGCAACGTATGGCTTCATTGCTATCGGCAAGCATAGTCCCTATATTTTCCAATTTACGCTTTATTTTCTTTATACACTATACCAATTCCTTGTCATCATTTTCGAGTTTATAGGTCGCCTAAAAAAATGAGAGAAGTAAGTATCTTCATATAAATCCAGAGGCTAAGCGGTATTTAAAAAACTTACTAGTAAAAACTGACAAATAGTGCCTATACCATTACCATCAATGTTATATTTCGCTAACACCTCCTTCAAATTGCGGTATGAGGAGAACACTCGCTTTGGCTTTTCTTTGAAGGTTTGGATCTCTTTTGCGAGAAGTGTTGCTGTTCCCAACGCAAAGCCAACACTATGAAATTTTTCTTCATTCAGGCCAAGAAAGAAGAGGCCGGTAATCTTTTCTTTGTGAAGTATTTCCAAGTCATCATCGTCGAGCTTGAGGTTTTGCTCTTTCAAAAAATTAATAAAGGTCTTTGTATTCCAGTTCTCAACCAAGTAAGAATTGTGTTCAGCTGTTGAAGTAGATATAGCGCTTTTATAGTGATATTTGGCTCAGGTAAAAAAAGTGTGTTACTTTTCAGAGTGAGTTGCAGAAAATTTATTTCTGTTTAGGAAAGGAAGTATATAGACAAAAATGGGGATTCTGGAACAAAATATGTATAAAAATAGTGTATAGCCTCCCGGCTATTTTCCTGATATACAAAATTTTAAAATTTTTATTAAACCCCAAATTATCCTACAAGACCAGGAAACATATCGAAATCCAATATTGAATTCGTTATTAAAATCGAGCTAGGGCTTAAATTTAGTTAACATATCTTTTTACCTAAATTTTAGGTTTCCAAGATCAAGATGTACAACATCTTTGTTATCATGCTGGCCTCTTTTTAATCTCAAATAATATAACGAAAAAAGTATGCCATATTGCTTGCCTCTTAGGAGAACCCTGATCACTGAGGACTGAAGTGTCTGAGTGTATTCAGGGTTTGACCAGTCAAGCCTAATTTGCATACCAATTTTTATGTTATCCTAGAATTAATTCTAAAGCTGATTCATTGCTGTAAACAAATTCCTGTTAAGTCTCACCTCAAA